ACGTTGTACACGAGTGAGCTTTTTGAAATGTCATCTGCCCATGATTCACTGTTACGCTGATGATTCACAAGTTTACATCTCATTTAGTGCGAACGAGAGAGCTGAACAACCTGCTGTGGTGAGGAATATGGAAGACTGAATCAGAGGCATTCGGTTTTGGATGTTGAATAATGATCTTAAACTTAATGACGACAATACTGAATTCCTCATCATTGGTTCATCACAACAGCTGGAAAAGCTATGTTAATATCAGCATACGTGTGGGTGACTCAGATATTCATCCCGTGCCACTCGTGAGAAATCTTGGTTGTTGGTTTGATTCTAGGCTGTCCATGGCATCACACATCACAAAACTCTGTGCCTCTTCATTTTACTATGTTTATAATATTCGTCGGATCAGAAAGTATCTTACATGGCAGTCACCTGAGATACTTGTCCATGCATCCATAACAAGTCGCCTTGACTGTTGCAATGGTCTTTTATATGGACTGTCAGACTGCTTCTTGAATAAACTGCAACGAGTTCAGAACGCTTGCGCCAGACTGATTTTTAGAGAGCAGAAATTTTGTCATGTAACGCCTCTTATTCATGAGTTTACTTTGAGTTGTAATTTTAGCTTTTTAAATCATGGTAAGTTTACTCTTAATTGTAGTTTTAGCTTTTTAGCCTTTTTATTTCGTTTTTAATCTTGTCATGCGCATTTGAACATTTTATGGAATTTGCGCATTATAAATGTTTTATTGTTATTATTATTATTATTATTATTATTATTATTGTTATTATTATTATTAGAGCTACGCCATAACAATTTCATGGGTCAGGACGAAAGTGTCCTTTGCAATTTTGCGGAGCGCGCTCCTATGCCTGAGGGGATCGAGAACCCGGAGAAGGAGGAACTTAGATGTTAAGCACAGGGATCTAGAAATAGAGAAGGGTCAAGCAGGACTTCCCTAGACTCAACAGCTATAGATACTTTATTATTGGGATGTACATATAAGTTTCATTTTTCATTTTCTTTTCTCTGATAATAAAAAAATTATTGAACGGACTAAAATTTTATTTCCTGGTTTTAGTGTTAATGATAATGATGACGTCTTTATTTTGGTTTCTTTCATAAGTATTGTTATTCTTTTCTTAGTTATCGCCTTCTCCCAAGTTAACTTGTACCAAACCAGTAGCATGCAAGAATGCCAGTAAAAACAAATTCGTCTTGTTGAGCGCTCTCGACCGGCAAACTTCAAACATCATTGTCACTGTTGGTACAAACAGATAGCCTTATGGTGCAAACGTTTGACGCTAGAAAAATATAAAAGCTTTCGAATGACGGCAATTTTATGCTCACACAATTGATTTATATGCTAGACCGGAAATAAAAAGCTGACCGGATGTTAAATTTTGTGCTCATGCGCAGTGCGTTTTGCTGAGGTGTTGCCCATACACTTTCCCACCCGCGCCTAACGGAACTGGCTAATTGATTTCCGAGAAAACAATAAGGAAGGTGATTGCCGTATCCCTTCATTTCTGTTTCATTTTGCAACTTGATAGCATACAATGACAATGACCACGGCCGACAGCAATTTTACTACTGCTGCGCCTACAAGATTTGAAGTTGAGGCAAACAAAGTTGTCAACCGAGCTCTAGTCACTATTTCAGCGACGCTTTCTGTATTGGGTACCACGCTTATTATCGGTACGTTTGTTGCGTGGAAAGATTACCGATCAACCTCAAGAAGAATTCTTGTTTACATCTCCATCGCTGACTTCTTTGTCGCTACGAGTAACTTGTTTGGAGTATGGCGGTACAGTTCCCAAAGTGACATCGTTTGCGAGACACAGAGTTTCGTCTCTACTTGTGCTTCTTTATGGTCTTTTTTCTGGACAACATTTCTTGCTGTCTTTTTGTACACTATTGTAGCTAAGAAAAAGCGTCACAAAGCAGAGATCATGCTCAAAGTTTTTCATGTCTTTGGCTGGGGAATTCCTTTGATTATCGTAGGAACCGCCTTGGGACTAGATAAACTAGGAAACGATAAAGATTATTTTACATCAGGGTGGTGTTGGATAAAGTGGAATTTAACGACTGAAGATAAGCACTTGTGGATGCTGCTGACAGGAAAGGCTTGGGAAATTGCAGCTTATATCCTCTGTTCAGCATTTTACTTAATGTTAAAGATTTACATTCGCAGAGAGGTAAGTTTTGTATTTAGAATGTTGTCTGTTAAATATATTATTTGAAAAAAAACAAAAACAAATGAAAATCCAAAGCGTGACTATTAGGAGCCTTTATTTGATCAAAAGGTCATTTAACGTTGAATAATGATTATGGATAGATACCCAAGCTCCATGGGACAAATCCAGGAAATTCAGAAAGAGGGAAGGGGGTAAGGTGGCTTAGTTTATGATGTGCCAGCTTTATACATGCTATTTATTGATATAAGAACTCCAAGAGCATTTAAGTCTAGATATCAAAAGGCTTTGTTTAATGTGGCTAATATGGACAGTAATGGGTCCATAGAAAGTGTCCATATTAATGGTGTGTCCGTACCCCTGGGGGGGGGTACTCCCTTAAATGGGCTTCATGGGGACGTGCGGCCAGCCAGGGTATGTTTTTCGGGATTTTTGTCTTAGACAGGGTATCAATTTTATCATTTTTTGTCTTAATCAGGGTATCGATTTTATCAATTTTTGTCTTAAACAGGGTATCTTTTCTTGGACAATAACAGCCTGCGCGTATGTTCTACGAACTAAACTGAGAGATCCTTTTTGAAAACCATATTTTATATGAAAAAGTCATCTCAATAAAGATTATTATCATTATTTATTATTAAAATTTTGTATTTATTATCGTCTTACTCAGGGTATGGTTTCGGGTTAAATGTCTTAAACAAGGTATCAAAAATTGGAATTCTGTCTTAAACAGGGTAGGAAAATCAGTGACTTTTGTCTTAAACAGGGTCAGGGTATACGGGGCCGGGCGCACCTCCCCACCCAAGGATATATTGAGTGCCCCCCTGGTCCATACTAAGCAGGTTGAATTTAAAGGAAAAGTAAGGGCTTTCTTTCCCCAGAGATAAAGCAAACATCTGTAACTGTCCCGCTGTATGTCAGTGTAAGTGCTGTAAGCATGTTTGCATTTGTTTTGAGTGAGTGCTACACAAAAATTAAAAACGTTCCTCATATAGAGTCTGCCTAGACTGCGAGCAGTCTCTTATGTTTCTTTGCAAAGTTACTGTACATGAAACCTAAGCATGCGGGGGCAAAGCCGCGAGCCACGAGAAACGAGGGGGTTAGCCCGAGAAGAAAAAATAAGATGCTGCTGACTCTTTTGTTTTGTCTGGGGACAACGAAGCTGTCAAGGTAATTTAATTAATCAATTAAACCTAAGTAACTTGAAACGATTTATAAATAGAACATAAACAACTGGAAAAATTACAATTCTTTAAATCTGGTAAGATGCCTTGAATTCCTTTCCCTTGAGGAAATTTACAGCAATTTCCTTCTGTAAGATATCCTTAAAAGTTTTATTACTGAGATTACTGCTTGGTTCGCTATTTTTTGGAGTTGGTTGTGACGCGTGACTATTTTTATTGCTTGCAATCTTACCACAGACCAGTCAATTATCTGTCAACAGTTGTGCAATTGACCAATCGGGTACTCCGTTTCTGGGCTGACGGAGGGTTTGTTTACTACAAAAGAGTCAGCAGTCCATCTTTTCTCGTCTGGCCTCAATCCGTTATTGGAATAGTAATGCCTTGGTTTGCAATTGCACTGGATGAGATAAGAACTAGATGGATTTTAATAGAAAAGGCGGACTGCAAGCAGTCTAGAGTCTGCCTCAAAAACCTTACGGTTTATTTATGCCCTAGCCATTTTGTATATAAAATGCTTGTTTTCTAAAATATAGTATATTAAAAAACCTTAAAATAAGAAATTGAGAAATATGAATAAAAAATTGTTGTGATTGTCTGCAAGACAGACTGGGAGATATTTTTAGAAATCAAACAAAATTTCAGACAAGGGGTTTGGGGTGATAAGTGGATTTTTTATTTTTACGGATCAGAGTTTACATGATTGTATATTTGTTAGCAATACAAAAACATCACATCACCCTGTTAGACTGTTTGGTAGAGGTTGAATACAACACTGTTAGCCACTGGGGAAGTCTAGATGATGATTGCTAAACTTAATGTGGGCAACTGCTCAATAGATAAGTTTTAACTTTACAGTAAATAATGGGAATAAAATTCTGTTTTTTTGATAATTAGTGATAAGTGATCAATTATTATATAAAAGAGGGTTACCACCCGGAAGATTATTGTTTGAAAGGAATGACTGTGAATGGTAGAAATACAAATTTAAATGAAGATATGATATTTATAATGATACTAATTGAGCAGTTTGTTATAAAATATGCATATTAATTTGTTTGCATTTCATACAAGTCGTACTAAATAAAACAAAACCTTTGATCAGTTGACTAGTGTCATTTAGTGCACATGCTGTAGATCCTTAAATACGTACCCAAGTGCTTTTTTTAAAAAAAATTGCTTTAAAAGTTTGCTGCTTATGCAAAGGAAGTTGCTAAATTGATAGAGTGGGAACAAAAAGGACGTTTGTGGGTGACAAATTACCACTATCAGATCAAATATAAAAAGAACATATAGTGCGCAATAGAATTCCTAGAAAGCACATGCAGATAGATTGAATAATAGCTGTCCTTCTATTGTTTGTGTAGACAAAGATTAAAAAAAATTATGAAAGTAAGAAAAGAAACAGGGTTTTCTTGTAGTATCTGTTTGATCAAAAGGGTTGATAAGGAAGGGGAAGTTTATCCAAGGGGTTTGCTTATCTCTTAGTATTGCCATATATAAGGGTGAACAATGGGAGGGCTCTTTATGAGCATGGATGTTTTGTTGTGGAAATTTGGTACAGCAACTGACGCCAGTCAGACTGCAGTAGTACTCAAACTATAAAAAATACTGTCCTCACATACTTGTATTTTAATAAAATTTGATAAATTATGTGACTTCATTTATTTATAATGTGGGAAGCATTACATACATTACTCAATGCCGGCTCTGAAGATTGATTTTGGAGCAAGACCAATTAGTCTCAGTGTCTCAAAATATCTTTACCCATTAAATCATGGCCCAATTTTAATTTAAAAGTGGGTGTTCGCCACTTTAAAAGCGACAAGGAAACTAGGCCTAGTTGGCTTTTGCAAAGACTTGTGGGACCGTTACTCGGGATGCACCATACAGTTTAGTATTGGCCAATACAGTTTAGCATTGGCCAATACAGTCGAAGAAGTCTTTGCCAAAGTTAACTTGGCCTGGTGTCCTTCTTATTTCTAGAGTGACTAATAATTACGATTGAGTCTTCAGGCTGCAGTCCTTTATCCTGTTTATCCTGTCAAGTTACTCATATTTTTTATTGATCTTTTGCTCATAGACCTATTGTTTTAAAACTTTAGTAGAGTGCTTGTGTGGAGTGTAGAACCACTGCATTCCCAAGTAAATGTTGAGTAATTTGAGTTCTGTTATCGGATGCATTTGTAGGTTCGTTACCAGCACAATCAAGTATCATCTCAGCAGTCAAGAGACAATGCCTTGTTGAAAGTGGAACGAAGGCTGACTCTTGTTCCTGTTATTTTTGTTCTGGTGCGCATATGGGGTACAATTCGCTTTATTCTGTATTTATCAGAGCGAGATAATTCCAATACATGGTGGGAAAATGTCTTACTATATTTCCAGGTTTGTTGTTTATTAATAAAGCTACTATGCCAATAAATTGTGTTATAGGGGATCATTCTAAGAAGCTGAGTCAAGTTTCAAATTAAAGTGAAATAAAATTGCCTCATATACAGACACCTGTTAAAGCGCTTACTTTAAGTCCCCTTTAAGTGGTCCATTGAAGTTCTTAAAGTGCCCACTTTAAGACCCGCAAAAGTACGCACTTTAAAACCCCTGAAAGTGCGTAATTTTAAGAACCGTTTAAGTGGGCACCTATAGACCCCTTTTAAAGCGCCCATTTTAACAGCTGTTCTAAGACCCCTTAAAGTCTTTAATACACACTTTTAAGACTTTAGAATGTAGTTTTTAATACTCGTTAAGTCCCATTTTTAAAATCCCTTTAAATATCCAGTTTAGACCCTTTAAAGTGCGCTCCTTTGCAGACCCCTCAAAGTACAAACTTTACGAACAGTGATCCTTTATTGACCAAGCGTGAGGTCAAGATGGCTGAATATTGGCCTCGTTCTTTTTTGCATTTTATTGACCCGGACGAATAAAAACGCAAAAAAGAACTTGGCAAATATTCAGCGACATTGACCCACGCTTGGTCAATAACGTCAATACTGCATATGTTGTAGTTCAATTTTATCCTTGGTTTAATTTTTATTTTCCTTTGTCTTTAGGTATGGTGATGTATGATAATGAGTTTAGAACAAAGGAAAATAACAATTAAACCAAGGACTAAAATTGGACCACAACATCTATATCCCTTGTGGAAGATTTATACAGCAAATAATTTAGGTTTTAAGTTTAGAATTTAGAAGTCTCTTTCACTGTTCCGATACTGGGGGACGTAGACTGACCAAGCTGCTTTGCTCATCAGCTTTCAAACTGCCCTTTAGGAGTATATTCCTTGCTTTCGCAAGGCAAAGTGATGATGATGAAGGTGATGATGAGCCGCTTACGGCAATGATGATCGTTATAAGCGGCTCGGCTCTACCGACATATCAGATCCGTGGACATACATTCTTTCTGAAGTTTCGATTTCTTTCAAAGAGAGATTTTCCGAAACTAATCGGCATGCCCTGCTCAAATTTTCACAGATAAGTAAAATTGTTCTACACTTTCAATATTAAGGGAAGCTTTTCTAAAAGCTTGATCAGAGACTGAAAGGTATATAAATAAATAAATAAATTGGTTTATTGCTACCTTTTGCAGTGAGAACTGAATTACAGGTAGGGTCAGAAATAACGGGAATCTAAGGTAATAAATAATACAAAATAAGTATGTAAAGCGCTTAGGAATCTAAATAGGTGGCATATTTGCACGTTACAAACTGTGCAAAACGGTCGGTGTTGGTTTGTTTGGATACAATGTTGGTATTCCTTCTAAGATATGTTAATGAGGCAAAAAAATTTACGTCTCGTAATATATTGAATAATGATATATTTGTTTTTTTTTTGTTGCAACTGTTTGTAGGGAATTGGAGACAGCAGCCAAGGTTTTTTCAACTTTTTGCTGTTTTGTCTTTTCACGGAAAAGTTTCAGACTCGTCTCAGGTTAGCTGCCCATAATCTGCTTCTTCACTGCAACAAAGAAAAGTCTGTGACAGATAAATACGAAGACATGTGCAATACTCAGGAAATTCTTGTTGACTGAAGTTAGCGCCAAAAAAATAAAAGAACTTTGTCTTAGATTTATGTAAGTTTCGAAGAAAACGTTTTTTGTCAAAGGCGGCAATACGCAGCAGTGTTTCTTATGACAACAC